CAGAAGTACTGGGAGCATAAGCTTTCGTGGGTAAGAACCTCACTTCTTCAGATGCAAGCATCTTCTTGCATCTGAAGAAGTGAGGTTCTTACCCACGAAAGATTTTTGTTGTGGATCCTATGGCGCTGATCCTGTTCTCATTGATTTCATTGGGAGAACTAAACCTGTTCTCACTGATCTCAGTGGGAAGTAGTAGGAACTGATACACTGAACAGAACAGCTGAGGGAGGGTTACGTATTGGTTGTATCATTTTGCAAGGAGTATCATAGCCTTGTTGACAATTGTAATCTCCATCATCTTTAGCTGGTTATGAAGGTGAAATCATACTCCTGGTTACTGCCATTGAAAGGGGTGGGAATCCCAGTGGCAAGACAAGCAAGATAAATAAGAATATTAGGATTTTGTGTGGATTTCTGTTGGTTCCCTTCTAAAGCATTGATAATGCCTCTACTGGCCTTGCAGTCAATGGTGCCTCTGTTTCCTGGAAATATTGGAAGGGATTCTGGTGGCTGAAACAACAACCAAAATCTAAATTAACATAGATGTGTGATCTATCACACTCACCTAGATTGTGTTATAAATGATTACATGAGCATTATACTTCATGGCAGGCACTGAAGCTAATGTTACACTTAAGAAAGATCTTTCAATCTAAATCCTAGTTGCCTGGATGCTAACAACATTATTTCCTGCTATTTCTTTGCATCTTTCAGCTGGAAATATTTGTGCTTAGCTACTGTGTGAAGGTTTGTGAAGGTTTTAGGAGGTTCCCACTGGAGTTCACTGGCAGACCCAATGGAAAGGGGACTGGATCCATTCTCCACATCTCTGAGCTGCCCGTGTTTCTCTTCTCAGTGATTCACTTACAATGTTAGTTATGTTGTTTCCTCAGGAACTCCCTATCACACTTCTTATGTACAACTGTCCTTCCCCTCTTCAAGGCCCTGCATTTCTACTATGTTTCCTCTTATAGGGAAGCTTCCTGTTTTCCATCTCCTGTTATACCAGTCATCTACCAGAGTGGGTCACTAGATGATGAGTTGAGTTGTTCCTCTCCAACATCTGGAAGCTGTAGAGCACAGGGCATCACTTCTGCCTCCTACCCCAGCAAAACTATCTGTAAAGCACTGGGCTGACCTGAAATTCTCGCAGTCTTTTTAGGGCAGTAATTCATCATCATCATGTTCCCATTACGCCTCTGGCGTGCTTTAGGCTGGCAATGAAGCTCCTCCACGCTTATCTGTTTCTGGCAAGGCTTTCAGTGGTTCCCCACCTGTGCCCCAGGTTTTTCAGCTCGGCTTCCACAGCTCTTCGCCATGTTTTTTTTGGGCTCCCTTGTTTTCACTTGCGTTCAGGTGTCCATCTTTTTGCCACTCTGGTGATGGAATCAATTTCCATCCGAAGCACATGGCCAATCCATCTCCAACGCCTCCTGGCAATGATGGTGCTCAGATCCTCTTGGCTGCACTGTGTGAATAGATCTTGGTTGAGATTGTTCTGTTTGGACATGTCATACTTTCTCATTTCCCAGCATTCTGCACTATAAAGTAATGTTGAAAGTATGCAGCTCTGATAAATCTTGAGTTTGCTTTTGGTTTTCTATGTTGATGATTTCCAGACTGTATTTAAGCTCCTGAAGGTGTTCCTGGCTTTATTGATTTTCTTCCGGGTATCCTGGTTTGATCCTCCATCCTGGCTGATGGTGCTGCCCAAATATGTGCATGTTTCTACATTGGTGAGAACATAATCCTCTATCCATACTGGTGATGGTGAGGCAATATTAAAGGTAATGATATCTGTCTGATTGCAGTTGACTTTCAGTCCAATTTGCTGGCTGAGTGTGTTGAGTCGAGTTGTTTTCTCTTGTATATGGTGTTGGGTATGTGATAGGAGAGCGACATCATCTGCGAAGTCCAGTTTTTCAAGAGATCAGAAGAGTGTCCATTTAATGACTCTTGGCATGTCTTTTGCTGCATTACCCAGTCAATGGCAATGTTGAAGAGGTTTTCAGACATGACACACCCCTGACCTACTCCTGTTTTGACTTCAAAACTGAGCTCACTGTGATCAACACTGCTGTAAAATTGAAATAAAAGCTTTTGATGATGTTGATTATACAGATAGGGATTCCATATACCTGAAGAATGCACTGTAGGCTGGTCCTGTGAATGCTATCAAAAGCCTTCGCAAAGTCTATGAAATTTACGTAGAGTTGCCATTGCCATGCTAAGCATTGTTCTATTATGTTTTGTAGAGTGAAGATCTGGTCTGTGCATCCATGCCCTTTCCGAAAACCAGCTTGCTCTTTTTTGAGAACGCTATTGACTGCCTCTGATATACGCTGGACTATGATCCTACACGATACTTTGCTTGGCACAAATAAAAGTGTGATACCACACCAGTTATTACAATCACTGAGAGTTCCTTTCTTTGGTATCTTCACTATAATCCCATTGGTCCACTCATCTGGCACTTTTTCCCTTTCCCAGACTGATGTAAATAGAGGGGCCAGGATAGATGCTGCTAACTCAGGATTTACCTTGAAGAATTCTCCAATCAAGTTATTCTTGCCAGGAGCTTTCCTATTTTTTAAGGATTTGATGGCTTGAATGATCTCTTCCTTAGTTGGGGCGTCTGTGTTAATTTCAAGATCTTCTGCCTCCTGGATGTTTGCTTCCTCTTTAGGTGGCTCCATGTTCAGCAGTTTTTTGAAATACTCTGTCCAGTGCATTTCTTGTTCTTTTTCGGTTTTTAGTAGGTGGCCTTGTTTGTCCCTGATGAATGTTTGTTGGTGTCTGCCGTTTACCACTGATAAGCCACGTCATTTTGTAGACGGTTCCTTGTTCATCACAAGCAGCTGCATCTTCTGCTTGTATTGCCAGATTATCAATATAATGACGTTTGTCCACTCTCACAAGGCGTTTACCTCCCGGTGTGCCTTGCTATATTGCTCGAGGTATTTGTCCGTTAGCTTCTGGGATTTTGTGTCTAAAACATTTTTCTTCAGGGCTCGTCTGGTATCTATGGCATTCCATGTGCTGGGTGTAATCCACTCCTCCTTTCTCTTCTGCCTGTAGCCTAGATAAATTACTGTTATTTTCTCCTACTTCTTGTTGATCTCCTCATCTGCATTCCCCTCCTCTTCATCAAGGTCTGCAAGTGCTTGTAACCTGTTCTTTAGCTGCAGTATGAAGGCTTTCTGTATTTCAGGGGACTTTAGCTTGTCAATGGTCATAACGTCTATGTCCCTTGTTCGGTGAACACACTTCTCAGTTTTAGCTTGAGGGAGTCTGCTAAAGGATGTTGGTCACTGCTTGTCTTGGTGTTGAGCACTTCAGTCCTCATGGCAGTGGCTTCCTTTTGGCTTTCACCACTGGCAGTCATACGGGTCGTTGACTCCTGAAGGCCATCATACACAATCATGGTCGATTTCTCCATCACTGTTTCCGTAACCTATTTTGTTTTTTATGGGACAGGGTTGTTAGCCCTCTGCCTAACCCCCAACTGGAGGACCAGGGTGTCTGTTTTGTCTGGCCCCTCCCCCACAGACCAATCCGGCATGGCTGAACCTACCAGGAGCAAAAAGTCCTTGTCGACATAGTCTTGGGGGATCGTTCGAGGATGCAAGTTGTCCCCCCATGACAGGGCACTGACACCAGACGACAGTAATTAGGAGGCAAGTAATGTAACTTAAAGCCAGAAATAAAAAAAATGCCACTGTGGTTGTGGAGAAGTTAAAACTTCTTCTGTGTGGAGGGAAGATTCTGTAGCAGCAGACTGTCTGCTAATTTATGTGTATTACATGGTGGAGACGGCAGGTATGTGCGTTTCTGGGGCTGAAAGTTTGCCCCCAAATAACCTGTAGTATTTGCACTGAGAAGGCGGCTGTTTGAAGGAAGCAGCTGTGACACAGAATGGAATGGACAGGGAGGTTTTTGTATTGGTTTGTATCACTGTGAGACTTCAGCTGTATAGCCTTGCTGACAATAATAATCTCCGGCATCTTCAGTTTGAACGTTGCTGATGGTGAGAGTGAAATCGGTTCCAGACCCACTGCCTGTGAACCGGTCTGGGATCCCAGTGGCGCGGTTGGAAGCACCATAGATAAGGAGTTTAGGAGCTTCTCCTGATTTCTGTTGGTACCAGGCCATGTAATGAGTGCTACCACTGGTGGCGCTGGAACTGGTTTTGCAGTTGATGGTGACTCTGTCTCCAGGAGACACTGCCAGGGATTCTGGAGTCTGAGTCAGCACAAGCTGCCCACTGGAGCCTGAATTCACAAAGAGACTAGAAGTTAATACAAATACAGATCTAGTCAATCAAACTCAACAACATTGTGCCTTTAAAATAGTCCCATGTGCGTCTTTACACAATGACTCTCCGTAGTCAGCTGGGCGTGATGCTAACATTGAGCTCCAGACACCGTTTCATTCTAACTGTTTTGACTACAGCTCATAATTTTCTCAAACATCATTTTCTTAATTCAAGCTAAAATAAGTTAAAGATTTTCATAAATCAGAGTCAGTCCTGGCACCTGTTTATTCTTTAACATTAATATTTTGGTAATCCCTGAACTCTTCTAACAGTTTTGGTCCGTTTGTGCCAGATGCTGTACAAACAATAAGTGACAGTCCCTGCCACAAAGCTAACTAACTAAATGGATTTTGATTGACCCATAAACTATAATCTACAATGTACAATATTTCTAGTTCTTTTAAGCTTTTCTAAGGATCATTTTACTTTTAATTCATCAAATTCCTTCTGGGTTTGATCCTTACCTGGGATCCAGAGCATTAACAGACAAAAAAGCTGAGCCTGTGAGATCATCTTGGTACGTCTGAGTGGCCCGATGCTGATCAACAAACTGTAACGAGTGACACGGAGCATTTATAACAGTTCAGCACCAGAGGGGAAGGGTGTGAAATATGCAAATTGGGTTCAGAGATGAAAATTCACACCTGGTCCATGAACATGTACAAAAAAGGAAGTGAACGGACCGTGGGTGACATAGGCAAATTCAACCAGTCACTCCTGGGTACAAGTGTGTCTGTGTTAAAATGACATTTGTCTGCGATTACAAAGAATAAAAGTTCTCAGCATATTGTGATTTCTGGGATGCTGGTTAATATCATGGCTACACTGGAGATCTCCTCACCAGGGGCGGCCCTATGCACCAGCAAAGCAGGCAGTTGCTTGGGGCAGCCCATTTGCAGGGGCGGCAGGGATCCAGCATGGGAGCTAAGAACCAACAGGGGGCCCTGGGAGCTGTAGTTCCTTGGTTAGCTCCCTGCCTATAGAGCCAGCCGTGGAGCAGGGATAGAACTACATTTCCCAGCATTCCCTTGGCCACTACCAACAGGAAAGAGGGGGAGGAAGTGAGGAAGCGGAGACCTCCTGCTGCAGCCTGCTGTGAATGGAGAGCTGCACTGTGAGTAGGGATACCATATTTTAACATTCAAAAAATAGGACACTTCACAGGGAGGGAGGGTAGCCCCACCCTGCCACCATCCATTCCCTCCAACTGCCCCCCACAGAAACCCCAACCCATCCAACCCCCCCCTGCTCCCTGTCCCCTGATCACCCCCTCCCGGGACCCCTGCCCCAACTGCCCCCCAGGACCCCACCCCCTATCTAAGCCCTACTGGTCCTTGGTCCCTGATTGCCCCCTCCTGGGACCCCACCCCCTATCTAAG